ATCAAATTGGTAGGACAGTTTCAATAATTAACACATTGCATACATTCTTCCTAGTGGTTAATTGCTGTACAAGATGCAGACATGATATCCTATTTTGATTTTAGTTTTTAAACTTTTGAGGTAAAGTATATATATGAATATACACGCATAGATGTATAAGGTCTGTGTTAAATACTGTACATGCATAGATATCATTACATTATTATTATGCCATATTCAGAGACTCACAAAACTATTGTTAATAAACATATATTGGGGTTTGGGAAATAGCTCGGTGGCCTAAGTGCCTGCCTGGCAAGTACAAGGGCCCAGGGTTCGATTCCCAGTACCACATGCTGTGGTGGTACATATCTGTAATCCCAGCGCTGGGGAGGCTGAGACAGGAGGATCACTATGAGCTGCATAGTGAGACCTTGTAAACAATAAATAAATGAATTAATAGTTTTAAAAAACCCAACTGTATTTAGTTCAATCTGGAAAGGACAGACTTTTCCTCACTACCACCAAACTAACTTGGACTCTTGTCCAACTAGCTAAAATGCCGTTACAGAGGGTGGAGGGTGAGGGAGAAGAAAGTAGGGGGCATTTAACAATTAAGATGTGTTATCTGTGTGCACCAGCTCACCACAGTGAATGTGATTGTTTTCTATAAACGTGGACCATTAAAAATAAAAATTAATAATAGCACAAAACTACCATGACAGGTAGCAGAGGCAGTTAATATTTGAATATAAAATAAATTTGGTTTTGTCCTTCTGAGCTTCAGTTAATAATTGATAGGCAGAATAATTGTAATAGAGATTAAGATTATTGTTTAAACATCACTTTAAGGATATGAAAGCGCCTCAATGCTGAGCTATATTACATATACAAAAAGACCTAAATAGATTTTCTTCATAAATAAAACATTTTGAGAAATTGCAAGGGAAAGTAGTTATTGAAAGGATTGGCCACATGAACTATATTACAAGTTCCAAGAGAAAACAGTTTGGTTTATAGTCAAATTTTGTGTTAGAACTAATTTACAAAATTCCCTTTACAGTTTGTGAAAATGAATTTAAAAAGTTTGTAGAAGCAGGTTGTAACATTAGGAAAGTAATTTTTTTTTGAGACAAAAGTCTTTATGAGTACTTCAGGCTGGCCTCAAATGCAAAGCAATCCTCCTGTGTCTGCCTCCCAGGTGCTGCCTGGTGCAAACAGTAATTTTGTCCTCTTGTAGCAGCGCATTAGCAAAAAGTACTAAGAGGATTTTACTTTTTTCTGCTTAAATAATTTTTATGATGAAATGATTAGGAGAACAGTGTTTTGTTACTGGATCCACTTTAAATTTTTTCCGTATTCATTAACGCCTTCCTTTTTTGAGTTTTCTATTTCTTAAAAATTTTACTTGATACACAAGATTTACCATAAACCTTTTCTAATTTTATTGCAGATGTTGGATGAAAATAACCATCTTATTCAGTGTATAATGGACTATCAGAATAAAGGAAAGACTTCAGAGTGTTCTCAGTAAGATTAAAAAGAAACTTTTTTTTGGTATTCTTTGGTAGTTTTTACTTTACATTTTAATAACATCTTTTTTGAGTTATAATTACACTGTACAATTCATTGTCTTTTAATGTATTCTGGAGTTGTGCTGTTGTCACCTCACTTTTCTTCACCCCATAAAGAAACCCCCATTGCAGCTGTTACCCACCCTCTGCATCAGCCTCTCCCCGCTGGGTTGGATATATGTCCTATAAAGGATTCAAGCAGTGTGCA